TTTGCCAATTATCATGCCATGCTGAATTATATTCCATACTTTTTCAGTTGCTGAAAGCATCATTGAAAATGTCGCAGTGGTTTCATGCAATTGTTGGATGATCTTCAAGAAAAAAAGGCATTTCCAACAAGATATTATTGAAATGTCGAACTACGACTCACTACCATGAGTTATTGACTTATTTACGCGTTAATTTTGAACGGATAATATTTTATTTAAATGAGATATAAGCAAAGCAATTTTAAGTATTTTTATGAGATCCCCATGTTTGTGCATCTCATTTTCCCCTTTCTCTCTCTCTCTATCTGTGTGTTCTCTTTGCTTGCATTTGATATTTTAATTTTATTGGATTAATCAAATTTAAGTCAAACATAATGAAATACAATTTTACTTACCCATCTCTCGTGTACGGATTTGATGAATAAAATTTTACAATTTTAAGTCAACACTGTTCAAATTTCACATGTCAATTGTTCAAAATTTCAAAGGTTTCACGATAGTTTTACACTTTCTTGAATTTCATTTTACAGCTCAGTTCAATAAAAATATCTAAATTAATTTCATCCCACCCCGTTTGCTAATTCGCTAGTAAGTAGGTTTTATTTTGAAATTTTCACAATTTATTGTAGTTTTTCGGGATGAGTGACTTGCCTAGCAGAAGTTGATCTAAAAACTGGTGCGTCTTTTTGCATGTTTTACTCACAGTGTCGCATTATAAATACTACTGCAGCACGTTTGGAATATTCAGTAAAGCGAGGTGGAATTTTTCTATTCAATATGCATTCCTTTTAGGAAGAAGGGTCTTTTTCATTTCCAAGAAAAACTCTAACAATTAACAATAAATGCATTACTACTGCAGCCCGTTTGGAATATTCAGTAAACCGAGGTGGCACTTTTCTATTCAATATGCATTCCTTTTAGGAAGAAGGGTCTTTTCATTTCCAAGAAAAACTCTAACAATTAACAATAAATGCATTACTACTGCAGCACGTTTGGAATCTTCAGTAAAGCGAGGTGGTATTTTTCTATACAACATGCATTCCTTTTACGAAGAAGGGTCTTTTTCATTTCCAAGAAAAACTCCAACAATTCACATTGGAATATAAAATATGTAGACATGAGAACCATTCTCCCTTCACCTTTCTGGGTCCACATTTCTTGCCCTCACATTTTAAAGAAATAAAGCTCTTTTATTTATATATGCACCCTTCGAACAAATAAAATGTTTCTAAATTTGTATGTGGAAAATAATAATGTGAATTATGTTGCGTGTATTTTAGTAAGCACATCATATCTCAGCATATCAAAATATCCCCCTGTTCTCAATTTACATCGATTCAGTTAAGTTTCATATTGTCTGAATTTGTCAAAATCCATCAAATCTCAAACCTTACCCAAAGTCTCAAAGTTTCAACTTGCCTCAGTCTCAACATGCCTCAGTCTCAACATACCCTACTCTCAACTTACCCCAGTCTCAATTTGCCGCAGCATTTTTTGGGAATCTCAACTTACCCTAGTCTCAATTTACCCCAGCATTTTGGAATCTCAACTTACCCTACTCTCAATTTGCCCCAGCATTTTTTTGGAATCTCAACTTGCCTCAGTCTCAATTTGCCCCAGCATCTTTTGGAATCTCAACTTGCCTCATGTGTCTCATTTTCCCCATGTTTCAACTTACCCCATTTTGGGGCGGGGTTTGCTTAACATTGTGGGATAGGAAAGTAGGAGTGGTTATAGTTTTAACATGGAAGGGATACATAAGCCACGTCCCCCAATGTCATATATATATATTATATTGCACATCAATTGCCTTGTCCACATCAATTTTTCTCCGAGCGTCGGGTTTCTTACAGTTCGGTGAACATGCGTTCGACGGGTGGGGCGCCGTCAAATTTCTTGCCTGGATCCTTTTTTCAACTAAATCCTTTATTTTAGACAATGGGCCTTTAGAAATGATAATCTTTTCATCCTGGAGTTGGTTTAGAATTTTTTTGTACGTCATTATTGCTTGGCAAACTGTTTTAACAGTGTGGAGTTCTTTCGGGTCAAATTTTGGACCCGTTTTCAAAATTTCGAAATTGAGCTTTCGGGTTACGGCGGAACTTGAACCAAGCTTCCAGAAAAGTTTCGAATATTTGGAATTAGCGCCATTGTTTAGCGTATGGGCAAATAGTGACAGGTACTATAATCTCGCCTAACCCTCAGTATTACGCTTTTCAATGCATACCTTTATTTCCAGAAGTAACATTTTATACTTACATATGTAAACGAATACACTTAATTTCTTTCTTGGCATAAAGTCGCCAAATATTTTGACATGTTCTGACCAAAAATTAATTTAATTTATTTTTACAATTTTACGATTATCCATATTATGTAATCATTCATGATGATGTGCAAAGGCTGTTGGCTATGATTAAATAAGTTAATTACTATGATAAACTAATGCAAGTACATTTTGGTTACGCTATTCGGGATATTTTTTAGTTCTAAAAACAATTTTAAACTCCATATGATAGCTGTCGCATTTTACTGTTAGACAGTGAAGACCCTTACACTCGATTATTATGCTAACGATCCCAATAAGTAGACACATTCCCCAAAGAAAAAATACTTCGTTTACAGATTTCATAGAAACAGGATCTGATTCGTGGAATGTTATTTGTTCTTTCGCATTTGACATGACCTTGAAGAAATATTTTTTGTAGTTTTTGTTATCACGTAAATAAATGGTTTTTAATGGAGAATATAAGTAACTCATTTTTTCCCATCTCATAATTAAACCGAAACTTGACAATTGTCCAAAACCTTTCTTCAATATTGGGAAAAAAAAGCTTGTACTCCCATAGGTGACCCATATAGTACTAAATGGTGTTGTTCCATCCTTGGCAGTGCTAATTTTCTTCTTTCCACTCCATTTTATATCCGATGTAAAACCCTTTACGGTTTCCACCTGGCCCATAATTGCCCATGTTTTGCTAATGTCAAATCCCAGCGACCCATTCTGAAACAGTGGCGACTTCGATTGTTCTATTCTACCTAAAACTACATCCACCATGTCGAAATACCTACCTGTGAAGATAAGTTTTTTATTCAAATTTTCCAATAGCTTGACGAAAGTCTCCTGGTCTTTGTATAATTCGGTATAGCTTGGTATGATTAATGACTTCAGTGTGGAAATACGTGTACTACGGTTCCAAGTATACGAATAAAAGTCCAATGTGATAATTGGATTATCTGAATCTACAAGTGTTTTGAGTGTATCAGGAAGTTTGGGTGGCTTGATTGCACTTAAGAAAGAATAAATTGATCCCACATATAAATTATCCATAGTTATGTAGCGTCCTCCCAAAAACCAGACCGTGAGAATTGGTACTGCAACCCATTTCTTATTTTTGAACATTGTCAAACTGTCACCATTCACGTGTCCAAGTAGAATCGACGCTACATTAAGAAATTCAATGAGAAACTTCACAAATTTACGCCTTTTGGTGTCACCAATTACAATGATTAACGAAATAATTACACAAAAGGTTAATAGAATTCCCCAAACAGTTTCGTCGAAGGGCAGCACAAATGCGCGTATTCCAGTGAGCGCAGTGGGAAATGGGGTGACAAAGATAAATTGTATATTAAGCCAACGTACTTCATAATGCGATATTACGCCATTCCCCATATCCCTAATTAAGTTCGGGTAAAGAATTATGTCAAGATCAAGTTGATAAAAATAATCATACTGATGCTGAGAAAGTTTTACTAGGGTAAAGTTATGCTTGAGAGAAAGGGACAAAAAGGAACACATTTGAAAATTACTTGACAGTTCGGGTTCATATTTTTTCGCATCACACTGAGTATTCCTATGCGGAATGTCACCATCAAAAGCCACCATTTCTGTGTGGAAATTGCTATTTAAGGTAAACCAGATAGAGTTGATTTTTGTCAGATCACTATCCGTCTCGTCAATATCCACCATTTCTACCTGGCCACATGAAATGCAAGGAATGAATAATTTACCTGGTTGATTGTAACTGAATAAAAATAGACTCGCTATTCCGCGTTGCTTGTGATAAAAATTAAAATTCAGTGAACTTGTTGGTTGATCCGTATGCAAGAATATGTAGGAGGGATTTAAATTAGACATAGTATTGGTTAGCATGTCCTCGAAAATGTAAGAAATTTCTAAATTTTTTAATTTTTCTATGGTGTTAATATTAAGAAATATGGCGGGTATTCGCCTTGAGGCGGAATATGGTCCAAGGCTTGATATGTCTCTGCTTAGAAGTAGCATGTCCGATTCGTCCATTTGAAGTGAATTATGGACAATTGGCGAGTAAGGATTTGACCGGAGTAATTCATGGAAATATGGTATATGCCGATACATATTGATTGAGGAAACCTTATATTCACCTGTCAAAAATATTATGTGACAATTTTTAAAGATATTCGATACCTCCCATAGACAGTGTGATGGACGAACGAAAAATCCAAAGAGGGTGAAGTGGGTTAATATTATTTGTCGTATTTTTGCCATTATAATTAAGGAGAAAGCTAAGTATAACAGCAGGAACAATAGTGGTTTATTGCCTATAAATAGAAGAATTTAATGCAAATAAGCTATTTATACTTTCTCAGGTACAAATATTAGATTGCTCTTGCAAATACAAGGTACGAATGGATATTGAAAATTTGCTTGAAGAAAGGCCAACCTTTGTTTATCTTAGTGTTGCTTGGCGACGTAGACCAAGACGTGTAACGCAAATACTTTAAAATCACCTTACGTGTTTTAGACTTTTAGTTTTAAGCCAGATATATGTAGGTAATAGTATTTATGCAGGGTTCGGCTTACTCCCATAATATGGGTTTTTATGCCGCCAAATAGTTACGCGCCGCCGCCGCCGCGGATAAATTTGATTTCCTATTCCTACAACATTGAAGTGCCTCGCTGCGCCGCCGAAATTTGTGTGAAAAAATGCATTAAAGTGATCTATATAAATATGGAATAAAGTCAGAGAAATAATTTATTTCCTTAGGAAAGACAACTTATTATTAAACTCAACAGGTGTTAAACTCACTTAAAATCTTCAAAAATAGAGCAAAAAAATAGTCGGCGTTCACCTCTGGTTGACAGTCTGCTCCTATAATGTGTAAATGATTTCAATGCATTTCTTATAGGAGCAAACAGGCTACGGGCTGCACCGATAGTTTGGAGGGGATTGCAATGCATTTCTTATGATATTCCTGGAGAGAGAAATATATAAAATCATTTGAGTGTCTCAAATTACCCCACTTGCAAAGTAAATCCTAAAATTCTTACTTCACGCATCAAGTTTCACCAGCTGAGGAGTATCTATTGCATACGTGGAATAGAGTTCGACGAATGTTTTGACAAAGTTGATGCACTTTTTGGAACCCCCCAAACACAGTAATACGAAATGTGTGTTATAAGAACATGTGAAGCATGTAAATAAAAATTCATAACTTAGTTGAGAGAAGCTAAAAAAGACAAAAAAAGAAGCTATAAAATGTAAAAATGAAAATGCTCAGGATGATTTGAAAAGGGCAATCAACAAAAAACTAAAGGCTTGAATTAAAAATACTCAAGGTAACTGAAAACTAACCTTTCAGGTCAAACATTCTTACCTTTGTCCTTTATGGCATTTTTGGAAAATAGGAACGGCATCCCTCCACAATCCTTCTGGGCTGCATCTACTAAAAAGTTGAAATATTTAAAACTTGTGGAATTAACTAGATCAAAAAACCCGTGGAATAATGAATCCTCCTACTGTAAGACGTATTCTTACAATGCGATGGTGTGAAGTGTAACCCTCCGATTTGGCTGAAATTTTAAAATTAGGTGGTCCAAGCCAATACAACTAACGTTTCTTCAGGCAGTTTGTGCGATGGTGAGAGTTACTCAAAATATTTGAGGTCAAAGTTCAAAAAACGGCCAATTTTTTTCAGGCGGAATGAGAAAACTCCACTTCCATTCTCTTCCCCTCGCTTTGATTTGCACTCCGAAAAGTAATTAATTTCAACAATTTTAAATTTAATTTTTTATAGAAAAATATTAATTATTCATTGCACATGTGACAATCTGATTATTTTCATAAAAGTCCACAGAACAATACGATAAATTGCACCAGCTGAATTTGATGAATATGGGATTGCCACAATTCAGGTCGCAACTAATATTTTTTTGAGGATTTTGATTTCGAAAATTGTCCCTGAAGATGATACAAGTGTGTATTGAAAGCTAGGAATAAATATATCTGCATTTTTAAAACAACCATGTCGTCCGATAAATCCAATACAAATATTTTTTTCTCCAAAACAAACTTCGCTTACATTTTTAAACTCGGGCTTTTCGGTATCACCCCATAATCCGCTCGAGTACCAACAATATCGAATCATTGGAACAAACACAGGAGCACTTAAAATATTAGTATATAATTGGATATTAGAATAACCAACGCTTTCGAAATGGAAAGCAAGTTCGTTTTTCCATGTTTATTTGCCGTTGGCGAATTTATAATATAAATTAACTTTTATGTAAAATAAGAAGAGATATCTAGAAATAAGTAAAAATCTCACTTATTTAGCTATGAATTAAATTAAGTATGTATGCATAATGCGTATTAATTGCTTTTTAAGCTATAATTAATAATGTTTATTTTTTATTATTTTGAATCAAAGCTTGTGCTTGTGCATGAAGGCGTATGCGTGAGCGAGACACCTGAATAAAATCAAAGCGGGGGGAAGAGAATGGAAGTGGGGTTTTCTCACTCCGCCTGAAAATAATCGGCCGTTTTTGAACTTTGACCTCAAATATTTTGAGTAACTCTCACCATCGCACAAACTGCCTGAAGAAACGTTAGTTGTATTGGCTTGGACCACCTAATTTTAAAATTTCAGCCAAATCGGAGGGTTACACTTCACACCATCGCATTGTTAGTACGACGTGGTGTTTTAGGAGCAACCAGGATCCTATATACTACTGTTCCCTTTCATACGTTAGTCTTGCGGCATGGATTTCATGTACATAAAAACACTTTGTTAAATGAATTGCCAAGTTGGGAAGTTGTACAAAATGCTGCTATAACTCCATATAGGCTGTCGATTAACGACGTCGCGTGTTTTAAGAAAAACAAATCAGGTAAGTACCTACATATATGTGTTATTTAACTACATGTATTTAAATACAGGATGGTTCCATAATCCTTATATTATTTTTTATTTTTCTACATGAATTTCCATCATATTGCTATTTTCAACAAACTGTCGGAAATACGATGGGATAGGTACATATGTGACAAACATTTTTTGGGATTCACATCCTGAGAAAGATTTGCACGCAGAATCGAATATATGAGAACAATTTTACAGGTTGAAAATAATGGTGTATCTATATTATAATTTCGAAAAGTCCGTCCCGTGAACTTTTCTGTGACATTCCTGCGTTCTGATTGGTTGCCAGCTTTCTGGCTCCACCAATCACAGCACGACTATAATTATGGTTACGATTTGAGTTACAACATCTGATACAACATCCGGTACAACATCTGGTACAACATTTGGTTCAACAATTGGTACAACATTTGGTACAACAATTGGTACAACAATTGGTACAACAATTGGTACAACAATTGGTACAACATCTGGTAAAACAATTGCTACAACATCTGGTACAACATCTGGTACAAAAATTGCTACAACATCTGGTACAACAAATACTGATAAGCGTTGTCTGGATACTATTTGCTAGATAAAGATAACAGCTCCGTAGAAAGCCGGCAACCAATCACAATGCAGGATTGTTTTTGAAGGTTGAACGGGACTTTTGGTAGTTTTACTACATTTAGATGTATGTTTACTCTCGAATTATTTCGATACAGACTAATGCATCCCTCCCCTTATTTAATGCTTTCATCTAATGCTTTGTTTGTTGACTCAAAACTATAATTGTGGACCGTCTTTAAGACAGGCTTATAGGCTAGTACAAAATAAAAGGAATTATGGCCCATCCAGTCTAAAGGAAAAATCTCAATCATCCAAACCAGAAAATATCCATATTTGATAGCTTTCCCAGAAGAGTTTTAAAATTATGTGACGATAATTGCATAAAGAGTTGTAGTTTGGTCACTAATCTTCTGATTGGAAATCATTACACTATATCTTAGATAACATCGAGAATAAAATATTTACAGGAAAAGTAACAAATACTACAAATAAGTCGACCGAAAGTAATTGCGTTGCGTAATCACTTATGTACGTTGGAATACAGAGGGTGTTTACAGATTTTGTGGAAAGACAATTTTATGGGTAAACTGCGAACCCTTTATCCGTTTTGGCGCCAAATTTCGAATACACAATCCCCAAGATCACGGTCACACATGTACCAAGTTTCAAATTTCTATCTTCAAAAATGAGCGCAAAAAGTAACCTCAAAGTGGAGGAATCGATGAAAGGGGTTTCCAAACAACAGACATTTTTTATCTCTTCCATTGAAAAGGATTTGTTCTAGGCATCCAAGCCCAAAAAAATCCATCAGAGTGGTGTCAGATTACTTAATGTGTACCCCGGAAAAAGATATCGAGGTCATTCCGGGGTTTGCCTTTACATCTTGGGGGTCCGGTTGGGTAAATACGGTCGTATATGAAAATGTCGCGTCGTGATGGATGCAAACCTTGTCAGGCTCCCCAAATTGCTTCTTTGCAATTTTGACCTCCAACAACTTATGTAAAACACTGTCCATAAAGTACTTCGAGTTTATTTTTGCATTAGACCCAACAGGTATCAATGTTCGCACCAGAGCTCCACGCCGTTGCAAAATCGGCGGCGGCGGCGTGAGTGGTGAAAACCGTCGGCGGCGGCGGCGCGCCGTTTGGGAGCTCGGCGGCGGCGCGCCGATATTTCTGCCTCTGTTTATCAGTCAGTGATCATATCTGACCTCTTTATTCAGCTTTCTCTGACAGAGTCATGTATTTCGCGTACTAATTTTAATCGGTTCAACGAAAAAATAAGCCGACCCATATTTTTTGAATTTATGTTAATTCGCAATGTTAATTCAAGTTTTCTAGAATTTCAAAAATATTTCTCGACTGGAGCCATTGGCTAATTTTTCATAAAATGAAATTTTTCTAATCGATAGTTTAAAAAAACCGCAGGACTTAGCAAATTATAAAATTCTCAAAAAACAGCAACGGTAATTTCGAAAAGTCTAGTATTTATGTACTCAATTTGTATGTACCCAAAATGTACATATTTTAAAATATCCGTTATCGATTCTTTAAATGGAGTGAAAATTTGATCTCCAATTAAGATTGCGTATCGGGAAAAAAATATTCATTTTCCCAATGTCAATCACAAATGAAACCGTTAAAACCAAAATCTCGACATTTTTGATCGTTTTTTCTTGTTTTAATTGTTTGAAGTATCTTTTTCTCGGCGGCGCGCCGATGGATTTTCTCGGCGGCGGCGGCGTGTCAAATCCGGTCGGCGTCGGCGGCGCGCCGGCGTAAAATCGGCGGCGTGGAGCTCTGGTTCGCACTCCACGGTCCGTCATTGCACCTGCCACCAGGAATCAGTCAGACAACTTTTCCTTCTTTTCAGACCCATGCTTTGAAATCTGCTTTCGGTCGGTTTTGCAGCAAATTATTTTTGTGCTGTTGAAGTTTTGAAGGCAGCAGAGTGTCTCGTCCAATGTGACGACGAATTCGGAATTTTTATTCCCAACATGACCTTCAAACAGCCTCCGACTGTTAGTTTTTTTGTTTCCCAGATGGGTAAATTTAAGTGCGCGGACTTTCGCCTTCCTCTGCAAGGCTTTTTTAAAATTGTGCTATACAATACGATTAACGTGTCCGGGAGACACCTGGGATTGCATTGTGACCTGTCTTTTGGTTGCAGGATTCTGATTGCCATCGTGGCGATCAATGTTCTTCAGGGTGGCAGAATTCATCGTTTTGAGGGGTATGCATTTCGTCGCATACGTTGGTCGGATGAAACTAGTTACTGGCGTTTTCTTACAAAATTGATACAATTATATGTGGGGGACACGATAAGATGGGTTCCAAATTTTTGGATTATCGTTTGGGCACTTTTCGCGGCCAAATTAGCTTCGGAAACCGCTTTTAAGGTTCGCCCACTTTCGGGTAACTTTTAGGGGCCATCTTTGAAGATGGAAATTTGAAACTTTGGGCAGGTGTGGTCGTGACCTTCGAGATTGTGTGTGCCAAATTTGGTGCAAATTGGATTACGCGTTCAAAAGTAATAGATGTAATTGTCTTTCCACAAAATCTGTAAACATCCTGTATTATTGATATCTGGATGAATACGTACATAAATGAAATTACGACGAAGTTCCTGAGCGAGAATTCGCATTTTCTTCGCTCGCAAAGAAAGTTTCATGAGGGAAATGGGTTGCAGATTCCATCACTATTTTTTATTAATTATTACGACGTTTGACTTCATTTCTTACTTC